CTTTTCCAATCAGTTGTCCTCCAGATAGATTTAATAACACCTAACAATAACAAAAATGCCTTTACTGTCACTTGGTGAGTCCCCATCGTAACTGTTCTCAGGGCTCAATTTATTTTTTTTCTATTATTATGACTCCAGCCATGGTATTTTCTTCTTCTTTTTTCCTCCTTCCCCTACCCTCTCAATGTACAGCTAAACAATAGAGATAAAAATACTAAGGATGTATACTCTCTCACTTTTGAAATGTCAAAATTAGCATTTAGAAAACCATTTTATTTCATTTCTTTTTTTGCTCACCTATCATCTGTTAACCCTTCAAGATTGATTCTGTGTGTAAACCATTTGTTAGGGTGGTTTTTTTCTTTTAGTGATCTTACAGCATATTTATAATTTTGTGACAGATTTACATCACTCAGCATAATTTGTTCTAATGCATTGCATGTTTTGCAGCATTTATTCTTTTTAATTTTTTATTTTAATTGGAATTTTAATGAAAGTTTATCAAGAAGTTGAATCTTCATTCATTCAGCATTTAGATAATTCTTGATAATTTCTTAGTGAAGCTTGTACATAGGATCACTATGAGTTATAGTCGACTTGATGGCACATAACAACAACAAAAAGAATACTCCAGGGAGTTCTGATGGCTTAGTGGTAAGAAATTGCACTGCCAATTAAAAGGTACATGGCTTAAATCAACCAGCTGCTCCACAGTAAAAAGATGAGAAATCAACTCCTGTGTGCCTTACTGCCTCTGAAAATCTGCTGGAGGGTCAGCTATGAGTTCTGACTCTATGGCACGCAACAGCTACAATATCATTTTAGCCTTTCATCTGTTGATAGGCATTTGGATTATTTCCAGGTTTTTGCTATTATAGTGCTGCAGTGTGTATTAGTGGAGATATAGCTGTTCATGTCACTGCTTTTATTTCTTGAGGAAATAAGCTTAGTACTGGGATTGCTGGATCAAATCATATTTTTGTCCCCAACTTTCTAAGGAAGTGCCAAACTGCTTTCCATAGTTTTGCACCATTTTACAGTCCTGCCAAAGGTCTGTAAGGAGTTCAATCTCTCCACACCCTCACCAGGGTTTGTTGTCTAATATCTTATTAACATTACTTCTATTTTTGCCAGGGTGAGGTTCTATCTCATTGTTGATTTGATTTGCATCTCTCTGATAGCTAGTGATCTTGAACATTGATTCATATGTCTGTTGGCCATTTGAATGTCTCAGTGAAATGCCTATTCAATGTCCTTTGCCCATTTTATGATTAAGTTGCTTGTTTTTTCCTTGTTGCAGTGTTGAAATTTTCTTGTAACTTTTAGAGACTAATCCCTTACCCGATGTGTCACTAGTAAGTATCCCTTCCCCCAATCAGTCTGATTTCCCCCTCCCAATGGTTTGTGAGGTTCTTTTTCAATCTTTACAGAAGCTGACCTGGTTTTTCTCTTGCAGGACAGCTGTTAGGTTAGAACTGCTGACATTTGGTTAACAACCAAGTGCTAACCCACTGTACTACTGTGATTGCCTTTTGACTCTTCTGGAGAATTCTTCTGAATTAAAGAAATATTTCATTTTGGGGAGGTTCCAGACATTGAATTTATACTCTGTTGATTGTGTATCAATTCTATTTGATATTCTATGTACACCATAGCTGATTAAGGCTCAATTTTTTAGTCGGATTAAACCTGCATAATATTGGGAGCCTCAATTAATGAGCAGTACCCCAAACATATTGTGATGGAAAAGTCTGCTGTTAGGGACCTCTCTAAAGTACTCAAGAGCAACGGTGTCTCTCTGGAGACTAAGGTGCGCCTGATACAGGCCATGGTATTTGCAATCACTTGTTATGCATCAGAGAGTTGGACAATGACTAGGGAGGACAGAAGGAGAATTAATGCCTTTGAGCTGTGGTGCTGGAGAAGAGTATTGGATGTACCATGGACTGCCAAGAAAACAAACAGATTCATCCTGGAGAGGATTGAACCAAGCAACTCCTTGGAGGCAAGGATTCTGGGGCTTCGTCTGACATATTTTGGGCATGTTGCAAAGAGGGACAGGTCCTTGGAAAGGGACATCATTCTTGGTAGGGTGGAGGGACAGCCCAGGAGGGGAAGACCCTCTATGAGGTGGCTTGATTCAGTGACTGGGGTAATCGGGATGGGTGTGTCAGAGGCAGTGCGATTGGTACAGGATAGAGCAGGGTTTAGGGCTGTTATACATAGGGTCGCTATGAGTCACAAATGACTTGACAGCACATAACAACAAACAACAACAACCCCAAAAGGAATCACCCCACACTCAGGTGGTAAACAGTAGGTGTGGAATGGAAGGCAGGGAACTTTGAGTCTGGCCCAAGATCTCCACAGCTTTGCTTTTTGATCTTATCTAAGCCCTGAGTTTACCCTACCAGTGTGTGTGTGTGTGTGTGTGTGTGTGTGTGTGTGTGTGTTTTCATGTCTGCTTCATTTTCCTGAACAAAGGGGGTCCTGAGTGATCCTAACATGGCTCCCCACTACTGGAGTCCAAGTGCCCCCTGACCTTACAGGCTATTTACTATCTGATGCCACCCCTACTTTAGCCTGATCATTCCTCCCTTGAACTTATCACCCTCTGCCAGTAATGCCTGTTCTCCTGTTCATTGTAGGGCTCTGTCCTCCATAGCCTGACCGCACGCCTCAGGGCAGTCACCTGCCTCTCTGTCTGCTTCTCTGGACTGTGAGGCCCAGGGCAGTTTCTCCGCTCTGGACTTTTGCAAGGACCCGACCTTCTTGTTGCTGCAGACTCGCTGTGTGGTGTTGGACACGTTGCCTTCCCTCTCACCTCACTTTCCTCATTTCTAAACTGATTCACATGATCCCTAAAGTAGAGAATTATCAAGGTATTTTAAGGACATGAGTGATAGAAGCAGAAAATCTATATGGCAGAGGCTGTGGAAAACTGCAGAGTTCTTTACCCAATCTGGAAAGCCTTTGCCCTTATCAAAGACTAGAAGGGTGAGCTGACAGAGATAGAGGAAGAAGCATTTGATCAACCTTGAGCACTGTTTCTGGGAGCTTCAATCTCTGAGAAATCCCCGCCCCTGGGAGTCCCGCCCATTGGAGCCCCGCCCATTGGAGCCCCGCCCACAGAGGCATCCCTTTAGGCCCCTCCCTTGGAGGAGTACTGCTCCTGAAACCCCAGAGGAGTCCTGCCCTATAGGCCCTGACACACAGAATTCCCACCCATTTAGTCCCCACCCCTCGGGGATCCCCGCCCCTTGGGGAAGCCCCACTCCTTTGGGCCTGGTCTCCTGAGGAATCATGCATGCCTCCTTATGCTCCTCCCCCTGAACAGTTCGTCCCTTTCTGCCCGTCAGTCCTGCCCCAGAGGCCTCACCCCTTATTAGCCCCTGATCCAAGGCTCCGCCCCCGGAGGAGTCGCTCCTTTGACGCCCCGCCCTCAAACAGCAACTGTCCCTTAGCAACTGTCAAACAGAAGGTGGAATCAGGTCCTGCAGGACGGGGCAGTGGTAAATGGTTCTTCTGGACTGCAGGTGGATGTGGGGAGCTGACTCTGCCCTCTAAGGCCAGGCGTGTCGCCCAGCACATCTGCTCACAGGTAACACTTGACTGTGGCAGTAGTGGGGTCTCTGACCATGGCCTCTTTGGCTGCCTCTGCCCTCGCATTCTCTCTTTTCGCATCCTATGCATAACAAGTTCTCCTTCCACAGATCCTGGGCTGGGCCTTAGTCTGGGGTGGGGATGAGGGAGGTCCCACTCTTCTTTGGCTTCGCCTGTGTCTTGCACGCTCTGTAGCTCTCCCCTTCACTTGGCTTGCCTTTCTCCAAATGTCAAAAGTTTGAATTGTACTTTGGTACTGTTCCCAGTGAGCCTGATACCTCCCAAGCAGGCACACACACCAAACCACATCCACACACCCTCCCTCAGACACACACCACATACACACACACCACCTACATACATCTCATCACACTGCACTACACACACACATGTGCCTATCACACCACACATATACTCTTACACACCCCGCACATACACTCACACATATACCTATCACACCACACTACACACACATACACTCCATGTACACAACCACACATACACACATATCCATCACACTACCCACACATACACACACAGCACACCACCCACATACCATCACACCACACCACCACCCATACATACATTCCACTACACCACACACACAACACAGCACACCACACACATGCCCCCACATACCCATCGCACCACACCATACATGTATACACACCACATCACATATACACCCCACACATACACTAACACATAAACCTATTACCACATCACCCACAATAACACACACAGAGCACACTACACACGACCACATGCACATACCATCACACCACCCACACATATATACCACTACACCACACACACGCTCCCCCACATACCCATCACACCACAGCATACAGGCATACACACCACATAGACATCACACCACATAGACATCACACCACACATGCCCATCACAGCACACCACACACACAAATATCTATCACCGCACACATACACTCACACCCTACACATACACTCTCACATATACCCATCACACCACACCATCCACGCAATACACACCACACATACCAGCCAACACACATACCATCACACCACACCACATGTGCATACACATCACACACAAAGCACACCACATGTCACACACTCCTACAAACAAAGCCACAATGCATGCTCTCTCTCTCCATTCCCCTCCCCACTGCACCATTCCATACCACACCTGAGTGGGAGAGGCAGAGCTTCTCAGGCAGAGAGTTGCTCATTGTTCTGATTCCTGCCATTTAGGGGTCCCAAGGCTTTCTTCCTCCACCACTCTGCATTTGCTGAACACCTGCCATCATAAGCTAGAGGAAAGGGGTGGGATCCTACAGAGGCAACCTGGGAGCAGAAGGTAGTGACAGAGTCTTCTTTTCTCACAGAGCAAGTGCCGGCCAGCCACTTGTGACATGTCCCTACAAGCTTGGGAGGGGATGGATGAGGACCTGGTGAGCATGGACCACGCCTACATCACCAGCCTCTACCAGTTTGATAGTGAGTGTACGACAGAGGAATGCCTGACGGCCGAAGCTGACTCAAGCCTGAACCACTATCCCAACAGCTTCTTGTCCTCAGAGGAGCCTGCTGACCTGCCTCATGTCGTAGCCTGCAAGTTCATCATCTCTCTAGCCTTCCCAGCCAATTTTGGTAGGTGCCAAAGCCAAATCCCAACACCCATTACAGAAAAGGGATGTGTGAACAATCTCCCAGGAGTCTAGGATGTGTATGCTTCTGTCCTCCCTCTGCCCCTGGGAAGAGTGGTGGCAAATGCCAGGAGCCCCACCTCCACAAGCCACAAAAGATGCAGATGGTATCACTCCTACTTATTAATAGATGAGGAAACCACAGTGAGTCAAGGCACTGATTCCCTTAATGAGTTGTTCATCACCTAAGTTGTTTTTTTAAAAAAATATTGATTCTGAAAGTTAAATTCTGGAGCTTTTGAGAGATTGAAATTCTAGAGTTGAGTATAAAGGTTGCTTTGTTGTTGTTGTTGTTGTGTACTATTGATTTAGAAGCAACCTATAGAGGGTTTTCAGAGGCAGGAATTCTCTCAGGAACAAGAACTTGCCCCTGGACGACAAGAGCACTGAACAGCCCATGGACAGCCAGAAGAACAAATATGTCTTGGAGAGAGTGCAGATAGAGCGCATTCTGGAGGCAAGAATGAAGAAGCTTCATCTCACATTGTTGTTGTTGTTGTTATGTGCCGTCGAGTCGTTTCCGACTCATAGCGACCCTATGCACAGCAGCCCTAAACCCTGCTCTATCCTGCTCCAAACGCACCGCCTCTGACACACCCATCCCGATTACCCTAGTCAC